TCTTTCCCTTCCCTCCCCCCTTTTTTTAATATTTTTTTATAATCCAAACGAGTCCTCGGGCAACAACTGTTCTAATAATTACGACTTCTGAATGGAAGTTCTGCTGACTTTATGAATGGTTAGCTCGGTACACCTTGAAAGTGTCTGTAACAATCTGTGTTTTGTTCTTGTGCATTTTTTTTTCCAATTTATTCCTTGTAGGGTGATTGCTTTGCACCAAGTTTGTATAGATATCTGGTATTTTAAGAGGTGTTTGGGTTTACTGACTGAGAATTTGGTGGAAAGCCAGGAACTAAAGGGCTTTTTGCTGATCCTTTGCTTTGAGTCACTTTGTAGCTTGAGTCAATTTGTAGCTTCAGCCTTTTCTTTAACGCTGTCTTTTAGTTTCGTTACTTGTAAACTCGAAATCATTATTTCTCTTTTGAGGAGTACCTATCCTTTCAGATGGTTTTACAACTATTAGTGTTCTAATAATTAGCAGGAACTGATAATCTCTGATCTTTTCAGCACCTTAATTCAGCAAAATCTTAAGTTCTGCCTGTTGCACTTTGGGTCAGTAGATTAAGTGAGAACAACAGTGTTGATGATCTGGTTTATGCAAGCTGTGGCATGTGCTTCTGCACTTGCTCTTAGCAGTACGAGTGGCAGCAAGAACTCCAAAGAAAGCACAACATGCATTCAGCTCTCTAAATCACTGCAGCAATTTCGGCAGTAAACGAGGGAGAAGGCTTTCCCAGGCATAAAAATGTTTGGTGTAGGGCGTGTAATGGTCAAGAAGTTCTGTAATAAGTTTATTCTTCAGTTGTTAATATTTACAAATTGTTTTTATTATAATACCTGCTTACTTTAAGTCAGATGTGTGTCATCTTAGTAGAGAGAACTCTCCTTTTAAGCTTTATGGCAGGGTCTGAACCCGTTACTGTTAAGTCACCAGTTGTCTGCTGTCACAGTGTGACACTTCGTGGCTTTATCTCAGCATATGGAATAGGTGCCTGAAAGGAAAGAGATAGTTGAAGGTCAGAGATTGTATTTGGCCTCTCTTTAATCAAAGTTTATGTATCTGCTTCTGCAAGGTGATCCAGTGTGCCCCAAAGAAAGCTATTGATGATTTATATTCTTGGCTAGGTAAATGTGAAGTGTCACTGGTATTGCTCTGCTGGAGTTGTACAGGCATCAGATAATGTCATGTTTTGTGGGTGTTTGTGAAATGAATATTTGGAGTTCTGTCCCTGAGATGCTTAATCTTACAGTTGTTGTGTTTGTGTGTTGTGTTTTGTTTTTAAATGACTGACTGCAATCTGAATAATTGATTATTATTTGTTACATGTGTGGGGCTGATGGCAGTTGCAGAATGAACTGGATTTCTATTTCTTTGCATGTGGGAAACCTCATTTGGTAGCATCAGTCGATTAGCTTAGCACAGACTGAAGCCATGTGTGCAAAGGAGAACCTGGCCTGGTTGCTTTTATAGAACCAGCAAACTGACGATGTGTGAAATGGTATTTTTGCCAGTGAACCTTCAGTTTGCCAACCCTACAGCTGCAGCCTGTGAGATACTCTGCTAATTGACTAAACATGTTTATAATGAATGCGTATTAAGAAACCATAAACATTCAGCCTTGTTATTATTCACTTGGAACCGTGCTTAAGAAATTAGGAAGTGTTTGAGTCTTCATTTTAATTCCCTTTTCCTATAAAATGGGTGTGAATAACAGACCTCTCTGAAACCAACTTCTGCCACTTTGAAATGTTCATTTTTAGAAAAACACTCCTTCTGATTTTTAAATTATTTCAAAATATTATTCAGAAGTTAACCTATGGCATGTTGGATATCTTTTGATTCACCCCTAAAGAGAGTTAAGTCCTTCTTCTTTGATCTAATGCTTCTGCTGTTCTCCATCTTCTACTTGCACTGGAAAGGAGTAGAAACTATATGACAACTTTTTGTCATCCTGTTCTGGAAATAGATGGGGTTAGAAAGGGCTGGCTTCAGAACTTCTTGGAAAGCTAGTAATGATAAAGGAGCTTGTAATAACTCTGATTTTTATTAAGTGATATTTGTTTATCATTAGATACAGGTAGTTAGATTTAAACTCGTTGGCAAATGTTGGGGTACAGTCTTTCTATATATTCAGTATAAGCAAGCATTGCACAGATCCTGATGGTGATGAGTCCACATTTTAGGACTCTTGGTTCAGAAAAATCATAGTGGAGCAAGACTGAGTGTGAATTTAAGCAGATACAGTTATAACTCTCTGCAGGCACTTTTATTCTGGAATACAGGTAACTTTAATTGAGTTTGTTACTTTGAAGTTTATACTGAACCAAAGACACTTGCTCTAAAAGAGGTTGCTCTAGTGAAAAGGGAATCACTTTCCTGTGTGGCTTATTTGGAGTTTGCTTTCATTGGGTTATGACTTCCTAGTATTGTGTAATATTTCTTGTCTATCAAAGACAATCTATGAGTCTTTCCCTTAAATGATGGAGGAGAGACATCTGCTCTTATTTTTCTACACACGGCCCAAATTGCTCATTTAAAACCAAAATTTTTTAATTCCAGTAGGTTTTCTTTTAACCTGTTGAATTAAGTTTGTGCTTTCCTAGTTTTCAATGCCTACCAGTAATCCTATTTCAATTCTTTTCCTTTCATGTAGTGGTCAGTAGGATTTTTGACTTTACACAGCAAAACTAAAATATTTGCTTATAAATGCAATTGTCTGGGTAAAATATTTTCAGAGATTATATGTTTTGAAGATGGTTGTGACATTTTCACCATAAGAGACTTCAGACATAGGGAATATTCAATGTGACCAACTTTCAGACAGAAACAAATAATATGTTAAGATAATTTTCATAATAGCTAACTGTTCTGTTTAACGTAATTTTTCACTTTCTCCTTGTATTATGAGAGCTTGCCTGAAACTTTCAATTCCACTTGCTTAGTCTTTATATATTTATTTATTTAATATTGTTAAATCTCAGCAGGGAAAACCACTTGTTTCAAAGGCACTTCAGTAACCTTGAAGTACAAAGCTCATGCCAAAGACTCCTGAGAATTTAGGAGTGTTACAGATGTTGATATTTTTCTTTCAGTCTTTGAAGCTCTGATACCCTGAAAGAGGAGGGCAAACACGTAAGACACTGAGGTTGTAGATCTTGGTATGATGTACAAAAAAGTATAACTTTATCATGTTGGGGAAAACCTGCTTTCTTTGAAATATTGACAGTTTGAGCCAGGCTGGCTTATAGCATGTCCTGAATGGGGAGGAATTGATGGTGTGAACTGCTAATTATCTTCAAAATCTCCAAAAGCCTCAGGCTGAGACTACTGGAAAAAGTATTTTTTATATTTTATTTGATTACTTTGAACTGCTGATTTCAAATAGATATCAACACATATTCTATTAGAAGTGGTGCTTGAGTTAAGGTGATACCTGAATGTGTCACAACCCTGCTGTTTTATTTTGAGGAGGAAAATAAATTAAATTAAAAAAAAAAAATCAATCAGTGAGACAGAAAATAGGCTTTTCTCCCAGAGTTTCTCCAGGATGTTGCCTGGCTCTAGCAGTAGCTGTCCGGATTAGGAAGTGGTGGGTTCACACTCTTCCTGAGCTCAGCATTAATGAGCTGCGTCAGGAACTGCTGACTCTCACTGTAGGCCGTTGGAGGAACTTTGAGTTGATGTT